CGGACGACTTCATCACGCATCGACGCACCGCGGCTCCGATTGGAGCGCGGCAGCGGTTGTGCATATTTTTGAGGTGAGCTGCTTATTGCTGCCGCTAAAAACTTGAGTATTTATTAAACCATACCTTTACTAAACCTAGCCAATCTGCAAAATCTCCCAGCGAAAGTGAGGTTCCCAGAAATTAGCATTTATACCTCCATTTTGATGCTCTCAAAAAATAATTTAAAAAAACCCACATGCTGAGCAGAGAGAAGCAACAATGAAATGTGTGGCATTTTACCACTTCTTCGGATAAACAATACTGTCCACTTCACATACATACTCTCTTTTTTGCGGACTATGACTGGTGAGGTGGGCGGAGCCAGGCACCAAAGGGATGCTGGTCGTGGTTAAACGGGTTGAAACACGGAGAATTAGCGTAACATTGATCCGTTCTTTTCGTTTCAACATACTTCTTTGCTTTTCAAGTTGCTTTGGACTCCCTTTCTAGTTCAAAGTAGGTTAGGCCCCGCCCACCCCACTAATCATAGTCCGCGAAAAAAGAGTACGCGCCCAGGGCGAGGCAACAACCTTTCGTAAGTGGCTGGATAGACTAAACACAATTGGAGCTCCCTATTCTATGAAACTTTCAGTGGCCTCAGAGACTATCTACCCTGGGAGAGGCGGGGATCGGGCCGCTCATTTTAACCAGCTCGTTCAGATTTCCACGCACAATCAATGTAAAGGCATCCAGGCCGAATGTCGACGAGTTAGTTGCCGCGTTTGAACTGCGCAAGTCGCTTCTGAATCTTCATCATTTGTGGCTTTTTTGCTTCTATGAAATGGAGATCAGCTGTTTTCAAGAGGAAATAAAATTCGTGAGCTATTAAAGGCAGCACCCACGCTCGGAACGCCTTCTGAATTCTTGACGGATTCTGAAAGAACGGCTCAAAAATGGGATAAGGTTCAGATTTCTCAGCTCAAAAGTTATTCATAGCCAAGGAAACTACTGCACAAAAACTCGTCCATGGTTTAACGGATGAGTTTTTGTGAACGAGTATTTGGTCGCGCGCTTTCTGTTGGGGTTACATAACGCCTCAAGCATGGGAACATAGAAGGGTCTTGCAGTCCTACGCATATCTAATATCTATAGCGCTTAAACTCTCACGCAAAACCAATGGGCAACTCGCCCGCGAGATCACGGACGAGTTTTGTAGAGCACTTTTCTCACTTAGGAGTGATTACTGAGCAGAGACTTTTGAACCCCAACCCATTTTTTGAGGCCCTATTTCCGAATCCATCAAGAACTCAGAAGGCATCCTGAGCGTGGGTGCTGCCTTTAAGGCTCTCCTTTGAGAATCTGCTAACGAGATTGTGACGTCATAGCTCAAAAATGATTTTTTTCACTCAGAATCTGAGTTGAGACCGAATTTACAGTAATACGTTTTTGTTGAGAGCTAGTTATTACTCGGATTACTGCTTATTAATAACATTATCGGAAAGAAAGAAAAGTCATCATGAAAGTGAGGGATTTCGTCAGCGGCTCAAAGAAAACTGAACAGCAGCGAGGTTTGGACGGTCACAGTATTTGCCACAAAAATTCATCGGAAGAGGAGAGCCAGGGGATAGGAGGAAGCTTCTAAAAAGAATCTTCTTTCTTTTAAAATTTTTTGAAACGTTTTTCAGCAAGATTTTTTTCTACAGATTCATTGGAATTGGCTTCAACTTCACAAATTTGTCCCAAGAGTTCAACTGTGGAAAAGCTACTGTTTCATCGATAGTTTCAGAAGTAATGGAGGCGATTATTGAAAGTTTGTAATTTTCTGCACTTTAAAACATGATTTTGTTGAAAAATTATTTTTAGGCGAAACAAGCAACGCTTTCCCTCCGATTACAAGGGCCTATCTGGAAGAAGTCGCTAAGAAAACGCAAGAGCTCTATGACTATCCTAGAGGCGTTGGTTTTCTTGATGGACGACATGTTGGCATTAAGATTATCAAGGTAAATGGGTTTCTGAGGGTAGATCAAAATCGATCAAACTTTTGTGGTCTAATTCTATAAAATCTAATTTTCAGAAATCCAAGGGAATTGAGGGCTACATGAATTACAAAAATTACCAATCAATAGTGCTACTGGCCATCTGTGACGCGGATTATCGTTTTCTTCTTTTCGATGTTGGAATGCCCGGATCTATTGGGGACTCGTCAGTGTTCAGAAATTCAAGCATTTATGTGAGGAATTCTAAGAGGCTATTCAGGAATTTTCTGGAAATTTCGAAAATCCAACTTCAAGTTTTTAAAAATTCCAGACTTTCCTCAGCGAATGCGACGATCTGTTTCCTGAGACTGCTGATCTTGGCGACGTTGGGCCAGTTCAATACCATATCCTTACCGATGATGGTATGGGCCATGGTGCTCGGTATGTGGAACCGTTCCCGGGGCGTTCGGCGAAGACCGGAAGCAAGCAGAGATTCAATAAGAAGCATGGAAAGTAAGTGTTAAAGGGTTTTTTGAAGATAAAATAACATTAAATCCGATACTATCGATTTATTGATTCAGTGCCCGGCGAGTGATCGAAACCGCGTTTGAAATGCTGCAAAGGCGGTTTGCAGTGCTTCAGAAGCCGCTGCAGTTGGAACCGAAAAGGGCACAAAAACTGGTGACGTCACTGTTGGTAAGTAGAAGTTTGTAAGTAGCTTTGCTCCTATAGGAAGGCACTAATCAATAATCTACACCCGCAGTTCATTATACACTGTTTTTCTTGGACCAAGACCAGTGAGGTGGGCGTGGCCAGGCACCCGCACGTGTCTAAACTAGTTAAAACAGCCAGAATTAGCTTAATCTCCACCAATTTGGACACGAATGGCGCCCTGGCCCCGCCCACCTCAGTGGCCTTGTTCCACAAAAACAGGGCGTGTAGAACCGCTGCAGCGGGAAATTTTCAGCAGAAAAATTTTTTAATGTGAAAAAGTCGGGTCGTAGCTTAATGTTTCCAAAGGCGGGACTAGCGCTTCGGGCGCGAGCGAACTCGTCCACACTCATCCATTAATGTTCACGTGCGTGAGCCATGCATTTTAAAGGACGGGTCTGGACGAGTTTGTTCGCGGCCGACAACGCTAACCCCGCCTCTGGAAACATTACGCTACGGACCCGAAAAATTTCATAAAATTTTATAGTTTTATTTTATTTTTCTAATATTTTCTCCAATTTTAGATACTGCACAACCTGGTCGCCTGGAAAGAAGACGTAGCAGCATACGTAGAGCGATATCCGCCAAATACGGAACCCCTGCTGGCCCTGCAACCTGTCGTCCCCGAGGAGTGCGAAGAGTCGCTGCGTGCTCGAGACCTAATTGTACAGCACTACGATAATCTCTACGGGACTACCAACAGCTAGAATTCTGCCCTCATCAATCAATAAGTAATCAATAGCTCACGGGTCGTTTAGAGACGCTTTTCGGTTTTTTTACGTGTATAATAATTGTTATTGATGCGCTTAATTGTTTATTGATTTTTGTTGGTTTTTTGTTGTTGACGTAGCAAAAACCAGTCTTGTACGAGTTATATATAATTAAATATTTACTTGCATGGACGTCGTAGTGTTGTGGGAGAGGGCTTCCAGAAAAGAAGAAACGTGAATGAGAAAATTACTAGTAAAAGAGTCAAGTTATATCTGGATAAAGTGAAAATACAACAACGAAATTTAAAAAAAGTAGCTACCTATTATCCCAGGTCAAAGTTTTTGGAAAAAAATGCTCCGGCAGTGCACTAAATTGCTGATGAAAACTCTACTAGGCCGCTTCGTACCCTCGTACCTAATAGAGTAAATATGCGGGAAAAATTGTTACAAATCATAGGGCAGCGATTTTGAAAACGCCCACTAACGATCGTAGGAAGCTGCGCCCCAACGTCCTCTGGCAAAACACTGCCCAAGACAGGAATCGAACCTGTGTCGCCACGGCCACAACGTGGAGTACTAACCACTATACTACTTGGGCCGAGAGCTCACTTTGCTATTATTATAGAAGAATACTCCATATTTTCTCTAACTTCCTTGTGGCCTTTCCAAGTAAAAGTTTGAAATATTGCCTTTTATTTTTGGCTTTTTAAAAAATTCTTCAGTCCCATTTTTGGCCCTCTGCCAACCCCAGCTCTCTTTCGATCTCAGACCCATGGCAAAATTTTCGGGCAATGAAGGGAGACTAATAATAAGTGTCCATCGGTTTGAAATTTCTAAGAAAGGCCATTTTATTTCTAAGCAAAATTCAAACCAATTTCTGTCCGACTTTTTCGTTTTGTATAGACTTCCCATTCCGCTCAGGCTTTCAGAAATTTCTCGAAGGTCTGCATTTGCTACTTTTTTCTGCGGTAAG